TTTTTTTTTTTAATTTGTTTTGTTTCTTTTTCCTCTTTTTCCCTTTTCGTCTTTCTTAATTTCTCAGTTTCTCGTCTCTATGTAGCTTCCTTCTCTTTCTGTTCCCTGAATACCTGGTGTTGTATACCTCTACGCCTTCTAGCCAGGCTGTACTGCAACACCTGAGAGTGATTTCCCCAGATCTCATAGCTGCACTGGTGGGATCCCTGGGAACTTTGCAGTTCTTTAACCTTTCTGATTCTTATTTATTCATTCTTTTCTTTTCTTCCTCCTCCCCGTTCTGTTTTTCTCCCCTTCATAGTCTCTCATCTCTCCACTCCAACGGCAAGCTCCCCTAGCATTCTTTTTTGTTTGTTTGTATGTTTTTGGCTCCTGTTCTCTCTCCTCTCTCCCATATCCATCTTAGCTCCACACATAACAATCTCCCCACTACATCCTACCTACCTGCACCATGCGCTTAACATCACACCACCAAGCAGCACAGACACAGCCTACTGGAACCTGCCCTACCCTGCACTGATTACCGACCCACCCTGGTGGCTGTAATAAGTGCCCCAAAGAACCCATCCCAGTAACTCCTCTTCAGCTAGACCTACCCTTCCGTACCATATCTGAGTGACTGACCCTGCCAGTTGAAGAAGGAGGCAAAAAGTATTCTGACTACAGACGAGCAAACAACAAAGAACACACAGTCTGTCTGCTCAGACATAGTCAAATTTTTTTAAAGAAAGGGACGAAACAAAAAAATCTACACTCAATAAACAAGAAAAATAACTACTGATTGCCCCGAAGACAGCAGACAATTACAAAACATTTACAGAAACAGGATGGTTCCAGTAGGTGTCCAAAAGAAAACACCAGATGACTCTCCTCTTGAAGAAAATGCACTAGAACCACATGATAGGAAACTCAAATCTCTAATACTGAGAATACTCCAAGAACTGAGGCAAAAAGCTGACAAACATGAGGAAAAAATAGACAAATTCATGGAAAATATGGACAAAAAATTGGAAGAATTCAGGAAAATAATGCAGGAACAAAATGCCAAAATCACAACTAGAACTTATACAAAGACAACGATTAGAAATCCAAAAGGTAACAACAAGATTTCAGAAATGGATGATCTCATAGAAGGGCTGAGAAGCAGATTTGAAATGGTGGAAGACATGATCAGTGGAATTGAAGACAAACACTTGGGTACAACTCTGTTTGAGGAAAACTCAGAAAAAAGAACAAAGAAAAATGAAGAGACCCTGAGAGTTATGTGGGACACAATGAAAAGAAAAAATCTACGAGTGATTGGAATTCCAGAAGGGGGAGAAACCAGAAAACACAGAGAGGATCATTGAGGAACTGCTGACAGAAAACTTCCCCAATATCATGAAAGATGAAAAGCTGGCCCTCCAAAAAGCTCAACGAACCCCATATAGAAGACACCCCAATAGAAAATCACCAAGGCATATCATATTCACACTCGCCAAAACCAAAGACAAACAAAGAATCCTGAGAGCAGCTCGTGAAAAACAAGAAGTCACATACAGTGGAGTAACA